TTTTTTTTCTGAGAGAGCCCAGTCATTAGTCCCCACTACCTGCTGCTGTGGCCCCCAGTGCCATGTGGCCCCCCCTTCAGCACACCCTTGACCGACACCTGGCTTGGACCTCCATGTAGGGAGTGCCTGGGGGAGGGGATAACAACGGTTGGCATGGAGGCAAGGGGTACAAGGGGCATCCTCCCCTTTGATCCCAGACAAATTGCTGTCTCCGCTTCTCTGATCCCCTCAAATCCCCCGGCTGTGGGCACATGCATCCCCCACCCCCCACAGACGACAAGACAACCAAGATGAAAGAATTGGGAGGGGTAAGATGCGACCTTGGGGGGAACTTGGACTAGGAGGGGCAAGAATGAGAGGAAACGAGCCGAGAAATGGGAACATGGAATAAAATAAAATAAAATCCTCCCTCTGGCTTCCTTGCTCTTGTGTGCACACTCTCTCTCCTCTCTCGCCTCGCTCTTTCACTGTTTCTACAGCTCTCTCTCTCCCTTTCTCTCCCTCTCCCCCCCCCCCCTCTGACTCTTTTCTCAGTCTCTTTTTGTCTCTCAATCTCTTCTCTAATTTCTTCTATCTGTGACTGGATTTTTCTACCTGTCTCTTTGTAACCCTGGTTCGCTCCCGCTAACCTCCAAGTTGTCTGTCTGTCTCTATCTGTGGGTTGGGGGTGGGGAGTAGGAGTGACAGGCAGCCAGGGTGGTAAGGGAAGCCCCTCTTTGCTGTCCCTCCCCTCCCCAGCTTGGAGCAGGAAGAGGGTGTTGTCCAAGGCGGGGTCCCCACACTCTGGAACTGGTTTAATTAAGCTAATTGGGTGCGGTGACATTTGCAGAGGGGAGAGGCTAGTGTGGCTGGCTGGCTGTGCCGGCTCAGAGGTGCTTGGTGCTGGAAGGGGCAGGGGGGGTGGGGGGGCGCTCCTCCAGGCCCAGGCCTGTGGGAGTCGTGCCAGGAGCACTTGGTCCCCGAGGCGGTCCGGCCCACGCACCAGAGGGGAGTTGAGGCCACCTCTTTCTGCTAGATCAACTCCACAGGGAGGGGGCTCACTTGGGATGAGACTGCTGGGAATGGGGGAGTGGAGGGAAAGGCTGTCAGCCCCCAGCCAGCCGCATTGCAGGGTGCACCTCCCGGGCCTTGAGGCTTGTCTGCCCCTACTCTTCTGTCACTTGGGTCAGGCAGGCGGGGCAGGATGGGCAGGATGGGACAAGGGGAGGGGGTAGCACCCTGTGTTTGGGGAAGGAACTGGGCTGGCTGGCGAGGCAAGCACACCACGCCATCCATGCCACACCACGGGAGCCCAGGCACCTGGGGTGAAGGCAGGGCACTGCAGTTGGTCTGGTGGAGCAGGCGGGAGTCTGGCTGAACCGGGGACAGAGATGTGGGTGAGGACTGAGGCAGGCATGTTGTGTTGGGGACTGGAACAGAGGGAGCAGGGCTGGGACTAGGGACTGGGCAGGCACAGGGATGAGAGCAGGCTGAGGATGGAGCAAAGGCTGGCATGGATGGCCAGTGGGGAGGGGGAGTTTGGCTAAGGTACTAGGCAGACAGGGATGAGGATGGAGTGGGCATCACGGGGGTGGAGACAGGGACAGGAAAGGACTGGCCCCCAAGGAGTGGGACTGGGTGTGGGTGTGGATGGGCACTGAAGCAGGGCAGAGGGTGGGGTGGGCACTGGTGGGTGGGGATAGGGCTCTGACTGGGAGATGGGGTTGGGGCCAGCAAGAAGGAAGGAAAATGGGGGTTGGGGCAGAAATGGGTTCCCTTTGGGTGCCAAGGCTGAGGTGTGGGGGACAGAAATGGGGCCAGATCAAGAAATGGGGGGCCAGGAAGGAGATGGAAGGCACCT